AGAGCGGGGAGGTTTTGGCGGGGAGGCTCGTGGATCGGAAGACGGAAACGAGCGACATGCTTCTCGTGAGGATTGCGACAGCAAGAGAGGAGGTGAAGTCAATGAGAGATTTCGACTACGTCGTCGTCAATGCCGAGGGTAAGCTCGACGAGGCGGCGAAGCTTGTTGAGTCCATTATTGATGTAGAGAAGGCTAGAGTGAAGCAGCGTTCTGTGAGGTTATAGATTTAGGAGGCTGCTTTCTTCTTGTTGTAGTTACTGTTGTGTTTTAGGGGAGATTGATTGCTGGGTGGATGTATTTCAAGTAATGAAATGATGATATTCTTTGATGATTTTTTTTAGTAATGTGTTATATTTAGTTTAAAATAAATTTAAGGAAGAGTTAAATAAATAAATAAATAAATAAATTTATATTTATATATACCACTCAATTTTTATATATTTACATATTGAACTGGTAAAGTTTAATTTTTAACATATATTCTGCCTTATCTATTGATGAAAGGGTAACTTCTTAAAATTCATAAGTGATTTCTGATGTGATGCAAAAGAGTGGGTGATTAAATGTAAAAAAGTAAGACTCTATAGGCGTTAGAGATGTAAATAAATAGGAATTGAGTGTTATTTGTATAAATGCCCTAATTTTATTGATTAAAAATATGTTCAATCATAGTGCAAATATATATATTATAGGCCTTTATTCCTATGATTTACAAGAAAATTCTATATTATTTAATATTACACAAATATAATATTTCCTTGTAAATCATAGGAATAAAAGCCTAAATAGGTTTACAAATCAAATTTTAAATGTTTTGCTTGGTATGCATGCAAACACATTAAATTAAAATGTAAAATTTTGGTTTATTTATTTGAAAAATTATACATTTGTGGCTGTCAAATTTTGAACTATACTTTTTTTCAAACAATGAAAATCAAATTTGTCAAACTCAATTTCAATGCCACCCTGCGACATTATATATATATATATATATATACATATAACTCTTAAATTTATTTATTGATTGAAAAATGAACAATATGGCTAAATAAAAAAACCCTTCTTCCTCTATTTTTCAAATTTCCAAACAAATATTAAATTTTATTTTTTTGAAATTTTCATAAATTCCCAACCTTTTAATCATATTACATGCAAATACATAAATTCATTTAAGAGCACGAACTATATAATAATTTGAAAAAAGGAAAGATATAACATTTATACAAGATAATAATTCCCTTATATCACGATCCAGCTTATGAAATGTACACATCAGATCCTGCTAATAATATATTCCTTAGAGCTGATAATAATTCCCAAAAACTTTCAGAGTTTGAATGGTTAGCTTGAGCTAATGGATTGGTCGCCGCCGGAGAATGCACTTCCAGCGGATGCTGCGGAGCCGGTCTGCGGACGCGGCTGCACCTCTGGTTTTCTGTATTTGTCTGATCCTGAACATGTCTTTGGGGAGAGGCCTGCTCTGTACAGTTGTGACTTCATCATCATCTTGTCCTGATTATGCATTCCAATGTCAAAAAATCAAACATATGAAAATAAAAATATAGTTTTTATAATTTTGGGACATCTTTCTACCAGCGCCGCCACCACAGTTTTAGAAATTGTTACGGTGAAAAGCTGCCTTTTGCAACAAAATATATTAAGGTGGTGGATGCAAAGAAATTGTGGTACAAATTTTTAATAATAAAAAAATATATTTATAATTCCCACCACAGTGTTTTAAGAAATTTTATCTACCATAATGTTACAACCATCTTCAAAAGAAACCATCAATATGCTGAAATGTATTAGCCGTAAGAAAGGCGCCCGACTTTCTTAGAGGATTTACATAAATACCAACACAATTCTTGGGTGTATACATATCTAACATCTAAAATTTGACATTTGCATGCATAACACTCAAATCTTTAGTTCTTTAAAGTGAAATACACATTTTCATGCATAAATTTTAACGTAATTACAAAACTAAAGCGGTCTAAGTATTAATACCAATTCATGTTAAATATCCAAGCATATAAATATTGTGTGGAATGCATGTAAATTTTCTAACAAATAATTCAACTTCATGTAAAAAAGAAAGGCGCGGATAGTATGACAACATGTAAATACTTGGTTTGCACATCAAATTAAAAAAAAGTAATGGGGAGGGGGCATACTGTCAATGTCTTTTCTGATTGCAGAATGTCCTTCTCTAGGAAATCTGCGAGATGAGCCATTTGGATTCAGCCGCGTTTTGCTGGATCCTGATAGATCACTGGTACTGGGGCCGGGAGCAGGAACAGCTTGTTGGTTGGAAAGGGTTTTTGCTGTAGTTCCAGCAGGCGGGTTATTTTGCAACAAGATAGATAACACAACATCCACGCTGGGGTAAGGACCTAAAATCATGAAAAAAAACATATAAAATTTTCAAATTGCGCGGAAGACCCCAGTTTTAGATGTGCAAAATGCTCATATTTCACTACTGTCATGACAATAGAGCAATGAATATTGAAGGACTATTTTCGTATATAAAACCCAATTCTTATGTATTTACAAATCTAACATCTAAACTTTATTTTTTATATTTATAGCACCCAAATCTTTCATATCAAATCAAAAGTATCAGCAGTTTTACTTAAAAAAAAAAAAAATGAAATATAGCTGTTCACGCTTAGGCAAAGTGACATATGTAAAAATTGAAGTTGAGGTGTTCGATATGTAACTATATAGGAATTGAGTGGTATTCATGTAAATCGTCCAATTTATTTATTTTTTTTTAAATCCATCCAGGATTTAAGCAACTTTGCTATCTTGGAAATTGCTTCAAAATATTCAGAATAAAATGCTACTTATACCTTCAACAGCAGGAAGGTTTGTAATGAAAGAAACCAATGCCGGGGATACAGATTTCAAAATATCATCAGCTGCTTTGTGATTTCCAGAACCAATTGAGTTTGAGACAGTTAAGGGATCTGTGAATTTTACAAAAATACAATATTTCACCATAGAAAATCCATTACACCAAAAAAAAAAAAAAAAAGGAAAAAAACCAACCCAAAAACTGCCCGGCCCAAAAACAACTGCACGGCCGCATAATCGATGCATTTTGAGTTGGTTTTAGAATAATTTAAAGGGCAATTAGAAGTACAACGCTCAAATCTTCATTATTTACAAAAAAGGGGCCAAACTAGGAGAAAATTCTACGTTCGGACACCACACGGCCAACTACCGAGCGCCACGTCGCCATACACGTGGGCGCCAAGCGACGTGGTGCTAGGTGGTTGGCCGTCTGGACGTGCGGACGGCTGGACGTAATATTTCCCAAACTAGAATACGACCAAAATATTAAAAAAAAAAAACAAAATAACTACCATTCAACTAAAAAAAAAAAAAAACTACCATTTAAGTGTTAGTTTTGTTGAAAACTTGAGTGTAACACATGTATCTACCTATGGCTTATTAGATTTAACAATTCGGATGCCAATCATGTAAATAAAAAGGTACCGGCAGAACCCACAAAAATCTTCTATTATTTAAACATTCTCTTGTATGATTCTAAGAGAAATTTAAATATACCACACAATTTTTATGTGTTTACATATGTAACACCCAAAGTATAATCATAAACTTGTGCATGAAAAGGTGCATTTAGCTTTTAAAAAGAAAGTGATGGTGATATTTTGGAAATGATGTGAAAGATTTGAGTGATATGCATGTAAATATGAATGTTTAGGTGTAAGATATGTAAATACAAAAGAATTATGTGGTATGAAAGAATTATGTGGTATGTAATTATGTGGTATGTATGTAAATGCCCCAAATTTTAATGAAGCTGTAGTATGTAACAGTGCTTAAGATGCAGCTAGTGATGAAAAAAAGCTGCTCTGCAAATGTAGAAGTTCGAGTACATTGATCCCTTCACAAACTCTACATTAGCAGGAGCTTCAAGCAGTAGGTAATAACCTCACACTTATAAAATCATTTTTTTTATTTTAAAATTTATAAAATATATCATTTGATCACATGAATCAATAGAGACTGCATGTAAAATCTGGCATCATAGTTACACCGAAAAATAGTTTGGGGAACTTGTATACATAACCGCCCAATTCCTATGTGCTTGCATATCAAACACCTAAATTTTACTATTAACATTTATACCACCCACAAAAAAAATACCGCCATTTTAACTTTTAAAAATTCAAATACACTTTGTCATGCAAAGGTAAGGTGGTATGTATTTAAAGCTTGAAGTTTATGTGTTAGATGTGATAATACATAGAAATTGAGTGCTATGCGTGTAAATCTTTCAAATAGTTTTTTCGCTGACGTCTTTTCAGGAGCAACTTTCCGCAAATGTTTCTAATAAAATTTCGTACCAGTGGTTTGTCCAGGATCATATATGACCATCCGAGAAGTGTCCGGGTAAACAACTTTCGTTGATTGCAAATATACCTTGTTCACTGGCCCCACTGAAATTTTATCTGCAAACAATGCAATATATGTAGAGACGACCACAAAATTTGTAATTTCATTAAGAAGCGACGCTATAAAGCGGTACCCGAAACATTAGTCCCGTTCAAAAGGGAAGACTTTTCAGCTTTCTTATCCATGGTTCTAGCAAGCCACTGCAAAAATAAGATAAAATAATAATAATAAATAAAAATAAAATAAGGAAATTTACATACATTCCACTCAAATCCCATGTATTTACATATCCAACACCTATACTTTATTTTTTACAAACATTCCACATGCAAATGCAAGAAAAAAAATGTATCACCTTTTAAAAGTTAGAATGATGGTTTTTTTTTATGTGATATGAAATATTTTGGTGGTATAAATGTAAAAAAGCAAAATTTAGTTGTTAGATATGTAAATACACATGTATTGGATGGTATGTATGTAAATGCCCCATCAAAAAATGAAACCCATTGCATGTTTTTAATCAACTCAAAGTACACGACTGATAAGATGCTTAAACATCTGAGCATGACAACATATGAAAATCAATGCGAAGCCTGTTGCAGTTTACCAACACGTAACAACATAAGAAGCTTTCGAGAAATAGATCCGATAAGCATCACTAGCCATCTAAAATTTTAATCAAGGTAGCGGGCACATGCATCATCAACACCCAAATCATAACTCGAATGTGAGTTATAAACTTTTTATTTTAAAAAATATTGATATATTGAGAAAATATTGAGAATAAAATAGAGAAATTAACTATAATTATTAAAGTGCAACGAAAATAAGAATGAGGAAGTAAATAAAGCATGACATGAATGTATGAAACATCCATACATGTTGAAAAACAATCGAGAGAATAAGAGATCAATTGGATAGTCTTGTTTGAAGCCTGGTGAAAATTTGAGAATGAAAATTTCTATTCTTCTTATTGCAAACCTACTATTAAATTGGATTTGGAATCTCTTATTAATCATAACGTCACCACTCACACTAATCTTAGTAGTCATATAGTTGTTGAGCATCATGACCTCCAAGTCTTCACTACAAACAACAACAAACAACAAAGCCTTAATCAAACTACGTGGGGTCGGCTACATGAATCCTTTTCTCCATTGCGTCCTATTTTCATTTAGTTATAGTAAATTAAAATCATTTTTAATACAATAAGCCCAAGTCTTCCTAGGTCTACCTCTGCCTTTCTTAACACAAGTCGAATTTAAAACATCTACTCTCCTAATCGGATCATCTAATGGTCGACGTTTAATATGACCAAACCATATAAGACGACTTTCTCTAATTTTGTCTATCAAAGGAGCTACACCAACCCTATCACGAATATATTCATTGCGCATTTTGTCTCTAAGTGTAAAGCCACTAATCCACCTAATCATTCTCATCTCGGCAACACTTAACTTATTATTATGCTTCTCTTTTAAAGGCCAACATTCAGCCCCATAGAGCATTGCAGGTCTCACCACCATCTTATAAAATTTTCCTTTCAGTCTAAGCGGTACTTTTCTATCACACAAAAGGCCCAAAGCATTCCTCCACTTCAACCAACCAACTTGAATTCTACTATTAACATCCCCATCTATATCACCATCGCTTTGGACAACGGACACAAGATATCTAAATCGTTCACACCTTTTAATAATTTGATCACCCAAAGTCACACTTCTGTCACTAGAGCTATTACTACTAAAATTACATTCCATGTATTCAATTTTAGTCTACTTAAGCGAAGGCCTTTAGACTCCAATGTAGACCTCCATAATTCAA